CGTGACGTCACCCGTAGTGTTTCTGAAGAGCGTTTTTGAAGCCCAAAGTGGGCGGAGCCGGCCGTCGCCATCTTGGCAGCGTCACTCCCGGATAAACGAACATGTGCAGCGAGGCGGATTAGCTGAGGTGACGTGACGCTAACACACAGCAGACAAACGGCTAGCAGTGACATCAGCGGCAATCCACCTGTCACTCAAGTGGCCACGCCCTTAATTATGCAGAACTTTAAGGCTTAATATAATTTAAACGGATGAGATATAAAAATATTCACCCCCCTCACAGTCGTCATGAAGGGCAACATTAGCAATATAGACCAAAACCACTTTTAGCACCAGGCTGTAAACATGTTTATTCTGCTGTAAAGTTGGGCATTTTAACATGCGGGTCTATGGGACTGAGTCTCTTCTGCAGCCGGCCTCTAGTGGCCAGTGGAGGAACTGCAGTTTAACTCACTTCCGTGTTGGATTCAAGAGAGACGAATCGGGCTGGTACTAATACTGGTGTGTAAGCTCTCACCGGGTTCGGATGCAGGACGCCTCCACGGCGTTGATGAGGAGACTCCGGAAGCCTCCGCTCTCCAGGAAGTGCAGTGCGTGGATGGTGGCGCCCCCTGGTGAGCACACGTTATCCTTCAGCTGCCCCGGGTGCTGCTCCGAGTCCAGCAGCATTTTAGCAGCACCCTGTCAATTATTCAACATAATTCAAAATTCAACCCAGAATTTGGGAGGAAATTAAATGGATTTTTTTTTTTTAATGTGTTTTTGTTAAAATTTTTGATTAGATACATCATTGTTAAATTGTATAAGTTTCATTATTTCACTTCATTAGACATGATTTTTTATTAGTAGAATTTAGTTTAACATCTAAAACAGAATCCAGAGAAGAAATACATTCAGGATTTTTTTTTACTGATTTTGTTGATTTTACTGTTAAATTGAATTTCTTTTTGATTACAAGAATTTTAATTAACATTTATAACAGAATCCAGAAAAAAAATGAATTTGGTTTTTTGAAAAATCATAAAGGCCCTAAAAAAATGTTTTATGAATTTAATTATTAGAATTTAGATAAAACAAAATATTAAAAATATAACTGATTCCATAGGGCCCTAAAATGTTTATTTTTGTTAAAATTGTATAAATCGTTGTTAAGTTGTATTGCTTTTTGATTACTAGGATTTAATTTAACATTTAAAACAGAATAAAAAAATCAAAAAAAATCAGAGGGCCCTAAAAATAAATCTTTGTTAAAATGTTATAAATTAAATGCTAAAGAGTAATGCTTTTTAATTACTAGAATTTAATTTAACTTTTATAACAGAATCCAGAGAAGAAGAGAAAATGAAAACAAACATAAATGATACCAGACATGTGTTTCTCACAGCAATTCCACAATATATTTTCAGACGCCGGCATCATAATTCACACTAACCACAAACCCTCACGGTGACGGTCAAGTACACACTTAAGAATTACACAAGACACTACAGCAGCACTGGCATGTACAAATCACTAAATAAAGCATAAATTTGCATAATATTAGTGATGCCATAAAGCTAAACTCATCAATCTGTTGTAGCTTCAGCCTCACATTTATCAACACATGCTCAAAAAAAGGGGGGGTCAAAAGGTCATCAACTAAAACAGGCCTTGATTGTGTGTATATCTTGCTCGGGTCATGTGACGTGACGTACCAGTAAAGCTTGTGCTCCCAGTCGCACCGCCAGTCTCCGTGGCAACCCCATCTTCACCCCCCCGTCAGCCAGAGCGTCCAGAGCCGTGAACGCCTGAGAACACACACACACACACACACACACACACACACACACACACACACACACACACACACACACACACACACACACACACACACACACGACATCTGATAAAAGAGCATGTCACAAAAAATACAGTGAATATGAATAATAATTAATAATAATCATAAATATTTGTTAAGCATCAGATCCTCATATTAGAGTGATTTCTGAAGGATCATGTGACACTGAAGACTGGAGTAATGATGCTGAAAATTCAGCTTTGATCACAGGAATAAATTACACTTAACTGTATATTCACATAGAAAACAGCAGATTTACATTAGAATAATTTTACAGTATTTTTGATCAAATAAATGTAGCCTTGAGCAGAAGAGACTCTTTCAGAAACATTAAAAAACCTTATTCCAAACTTGTGACAGTCAGAGAGTGAGTGAGTCAGTGAGTCTGTGAGTGAATGAGTCAGTGAGTGAGTGAGTGAGTGAGTCAGTGAGTGAGTGAGTGAGTGAGTCTGTGAGTGAGTGAGTCAGTGAGTGAGTCAGTGAGTGAGTCAGTGAGTGAGTCAGTGAGTGAGTCAGTGAGTGAGTCAGTGAGTGAGTGAGTGAGTCAGTGAGTGAGTGAGTCAGTGAGTGAGTGAGTCAGTGAGTGAGTGAGTCAGTGAGTGAGTGAGTCAGTGAGTGAGTGAGTGAGTCAGTGAGTGAGTGAGTCAGTGAGTGAGTGAGTCA